GAATTGAAACTGGTTCTTTTCCGATAGGAAGAGCTTTTTAAAATATTTACTCTAATGTTGGCTTAGCAGTTTTCAGAGGAAAGTTTTCAGGAAATCCTGCCCAGCTGTGGACACGCAGAAGTCCCCCATGAGTAAGGTGCTGTGTGACTGCGGTGCACAAATAAGCACAAGTGGGATGTTGCCGACAGGCCCGGCTGCCCTATCGCACCTGCGGCATTATTAATAGCGTCCTGACAATTCCACGGGGTTATCACATGTGATGGGTTTCCAAGGCCACCTCTGAGACCCGAAGGTTTCACAATCCCAGTTAGCAGGCTGCACCGAGTCACTGCCATCAAGCTTTATGGTGACTGAGTCATCTCTTAGGAAGGAGACACCTGATGGAACAGGGACATAGGCCTCAGCCAGTCCAGCTCCTTGCCCGAAAAGAGATGGCATCGCAATTTACCCCTGACTCCTGCATCCTTTCAAGAGACCAGTTCAGTCTCACCCCTGTACTGTTCCCCACCCCACCCCTGCATTCTTCTCCAGGTCTGAAAACCAGCGCCAAACTTGAAAAACCTGTATGGAGAAACTCAGCTTCCCTCCAGACACCTAGCATGCTCTGAGATAAAAACGGGCCCCGCCCGCTGAGGACTGTGCCCTCACAGAGTCCTGCCCGAGAGCACGCCGGCCGCTAGACACTCCTGGGCTGTGAGCGTGCGTCCTGTCTCCTCTCCGTTCCGCATCCCTTTTTCTACAATATTTTTGACCAGAAGCTTGCAGAAAAGTCTAGGTCTTGAGGGCCTGGGATGATTTTTTTTGTCTTGTTTGTTATATAATTATAAAAAATTTAATTAACTCTTTATTGTGGCCTTTGGAGTATGAACACAAGCATGTAGTACCTGACAGTACTCAAAAAAGGGAAACTGCCCACACGATCTAAGCGAGGTGCCTATATGAGGAACTTAGAAGTAAGATCCCTTTAAAACAAATTCCTCTCCAAATTAGTTGTCCTAATTAAAATTACTGGAATAAATGTGAAAAAAAGGTCTAATTTACAAAATTAAAAATGAGACTCCATCATTTGTAGCAAAATGGTTGGAACCGGAGGACATCATGTTGCGTAAAATAAGCTCAACCCAGAAATGTATGGAGTCAGACGGGTTAATAGTCAGGGGGTCGCAGTGGAATTTGGGATGTAAATATTTGCTTCCTTCCACAAAAGGTTATCTTTAGCAAGAACACAGGGCTCCCTCCCTCCTTGGAGTCTCCAAATTGACCATGAGAATAGCAAGGGAGCTCCTCGTGAGCTCAGGGCTTATTGTGAAAGCAAGTTACCTACCCAACCCTTAGCAGGCCAGACAGGATGCAGAATTGATAATGAGGTCTTCTGATGTTTTGTTTTGTTTTGTTTTTGTCCTCTCCTGGTACCTAAATGCCAAGCTAATCGTTAAGTTGTTTTTTTTTTTCTTTGAAATTGTACTTAAATTCCGACTGCCACCAGTCCCCCTGGGGTTTTCCTCTCTTGGAAGCCCCCTCCATTCTAACCCAGGCCCTGGGAGGTAGCAGTGATGGCTCAGGTAATTGGGTCACTGCCACCCACATGGGAGACCTGGATAAAGTGCCCAGCTCCCAGCTTGGGCCGCTGCCCAGCCTTGGGTGTTGCAGATATTTGGGGAGTGAACCAGTGAATGGGAGCCCTCTCTCTCTCTCTCTTTCTCACTCTCACTCTCTCACTGTATGCGTGTGTGTTTTAAATATATAAAAATAATTTAAAACCAGAAAGCAGGTATTAGAAAGGCCTTACACAGGCCGGCGCTGCGGTTCACTAGGCTAATCCTCCGCCTGCGGTGCCAGCACTCCAGGTTCTAGTCCTGGTTGGGGCGCTGGTTCTGTCTCGGTTGCTCCTCTTCCAGTCCAGCTCTCTGCTGTGGCCCGGGGAAGGCAGTGGGGGATGACCCAAGTGCTTGGGCCCTGCACCCGCATGGGAGACCAGGAGGAAGCACCTGGCTCCTGGCTTTGGATCAGCACAGCGTGCCCGCCGCAGCGGTCATTTGGAGGGTGAACCAACGGAAGGAAGACCATTCTCTCTCTCTCTCTCTCTCTCTCTCTCACTGTCTGACTCTGCCTGTCAAAAAAATAAAAAATAAATAAATAAATAAAGAAAGAAAGGCCTTACACAGGTCCAAGGACAGGTCCTTGGATTGGCAGGTCAAATGACACACCTTGGCAAAGCAAACTGCTCAGTCCGAGGAACTTCTTCGGACTCTCAGTCAAATTGCAAGACAGATGTTTACCTCCCTTCTTATACTTCCCAGCATAACTCTCTTCTTTCCCAATTGTTCTGGGGGTGAAGGTTTGCTTTTGCTTGGCTATGCTTGATAACTCACCACCTTACAGCTTCCCATGTGGGTTCAGTGGAAGTTGTATTAAAAAAAATTCTTTTTATTTATTTGAAAGTCAGAATTACACAGAGAGAGGAAATACAGAGAGAAAGGGGTCTTCCATCCAGTGGTTCACTCCCCAAATGGCCACAATGACCAGGGTGGGGCTAGGCCAAAGCCAGGAGTCAAGAGCTTCATTGGGGTCTCCCTCGTGGGTGGCAGGGGTCCAAGCACTTGGGCCATCTTCTGCTGCTTTTCCAGGGCATTAGCAGGGAACTGCATTGGAAGTGGAGCAGCTGGGACAAGAACTGGTGCCCTTATAGCATGCCAGCAGGCAGCAGCTTTCCCACTGTGCTAGAACGCTGACCCCATAGGGGTATATGGAAGGTCCTCCAGCTGTGCCACCTCCCACTGCTGAATCAGGGTTCTTCTTAGCGGGTGACTCGCTGAGTGCAAGCAGAACAAGGTGAAGGCCAGACCGACCTAATTCTAATACTTGTCCTCTGTCAAATAAGGAGAAACAATATCACCCATGACAAAAACTGCCTAGAGGCTTAAACAAGAACAAACATAAAATTCTTTACATGGAGTCTTAACACACACACACCCCACCCCCAAGTACAGCACCTTCCTTCCCCTCCAAAAGCTCTGGGTTCCCTTCTGAGCAGTGAGTAATGATCCCAAAGCTAAAGCACCGTCCATCTTGCGTGCTCTGTTTTCACCTTCCAGACTAATTTGCAATCCAATCTCACAAGTGTTTAGGTGACCAGTGATTAATGATGCTTTTCCAAAACAGCTTTTCCAGCCATCTGAGAGCTCTAAAGAACACTCCCTGTAATCAGGAACTCTAAGGATGGCAAGCTCCTTTCCAATGTGAGCTAGATCTCTGCATTGGAATCAGCATTAGGAAAGGTTGCTAGTGCAGTGGCTTTGACAATCAGACTGCAGTGGTGGACTTTGGTTTTATGTTCTAGGTGCCAAAAATAACTGTCCTTTCTGCAGTCCACATTCTTATTTAAATACCATTAGTGGTACTGAAGATAGTCTAATTGGAGCCCTATTCTTCCCAAGGCCTAATATCAGTAGAAATGCAAGAACTTCAAGGTCATTTGAACGTTTAGATTAAACAATGTTCAACCTCTTAGCCAATATTTGAGAAAACAGATTATCATTAATATTCCCAGGTACCAAAAAAGAAAAAGGGAAAAAAAGGAGTTGTATGAGAGTCTGTGAGTATCTACCTAATAGCAAACCATTTTGTCCATGAAATGTGGTGTGGTTTGAAATTCTATGTAAGAAGTGAAATTTTAAATTGCAATAGTGCACTACTGTTATGGTTAGGATAATAGTTGGATGTCCTCTAAGGATCCAAAAGTTCTGTGTCCGTGGTTATTGGGTTAATTATAGCTCCTAGGCAGAGGAACCAGTGGGAGATCCTTGGGTGAGTGGGGTTTGGCCTCAGAAGGTGTTCTCTGAAGAGGGCCACTTCTTTCAGCTGTTTTGCCCAGCTTCTCTCCCTCCCTCCTGGCTCACCACTTGGTCCTTCCTTTGTGCCTGCTTCACCAGATGCTGGACTGAAAGGCGAGCTGACCTTAGAATGTGAACGTCTAAACAGGAAGCTAAAAGAAAACTTCCCTTCTAAGTTGCTCCTCCAGAAGCAACATCTTAAATAATGTACAATGTCCCAAACTAAAAATTCTTCAAGAATCTCATAATTTTAAAGCAAGTGGCCCACATGAATTGAAAACTGTCATCGTGCTGTAACCACACGGAAGTGCCACTTTAGCTGGTTTCCAGAAATACCCACTGTTCCTTTTCAGTCAGAACTGGTAGAAACAAATGGCATCAGAGACTTAGAGCCATATGTCTCCCAAGCACAACTTAACAGCTTGCTGTGTTGTAAGGAACCACAGAGCACCAGTGTGGGAACAGGTCTGTAGATCATTCAGACCCATCCCCTCATTCTCCAGGGTGGAAAAATTCCATTGAAAGGGTCTAACCTCTGCTTTGAACTAGATCAAATGTTTTTGAAGTTCACCCACTAGGGAGGCAGTTACTGAATTACCCAAGGACATGTATCTTGAATAATCACAGGGAACAGAGACTATAGAAAAAGTAATGGAAGGAAACTCTACCGGTGCTATATCCAAGGAGGCACTGGTCCTGATAGGCAGGAATGCCTCCACTTCCACTCACTTTCAGGATAACTGGATGTGGGATGAGAGCTCTCATGGAACTGAAGAAATATTCACTACCAATCAACATTACTGTAAACTATTATATGCTCTCATCATAACCTTTGGAAATAACTATAAAACAAATATCCTCATACCATTAAAAAGCTTAAAATCTGAAACTAACAGGTAACCAAAATTTGTACTCAATATAGGTACATGACATTGATGAAAATCATTTTACTAAAACAGATAAAAATATATATGGGCCTTCAAAATATTCATGGAAATATGCATGGATATCAGTTTTCCCACTAAAATAAAATCTTACTAACCTGTTACAACACGTCTGAACAGGATGTAGCTTGAGGCACTAAGAACAAGACGATAGTTTGAAAACAGGCTCTATCAACATGAATTCTGCTCAAACTGAAATAAGAACAGACATGCTTAGGTGGAATAATGGTAAAATCATTAATGTTTTATGAAAAGCACAATCAAAACAATGGCTGCCAAGAGGTAGAAGTGGTCAAGTCAAAGCAAAAGGAGTTGGTCAAGAGCAAAGGTCACAGCCACATTTTCTTCGGGATGCACGAGGCATTTTGCTTATTGACTTTCTGAAGAGCTGAAAGATGACAACATCTTCCTGGGGTGACAGTGTCTGTAGACTGGTAATCAGCATTTTAACAGAAAAACGCTTGGGCACGCTTCACCAAAGAGTCAGGACAGGACAGCTCTGCTACTGCTGAGATTCCACATGGAAGATCATGTTTCTGGGGACTCACTTGACCCCCAGAGAGAAGGATCAGTAGTTTGGAAAGCTGTCTCTAATTGTGCTCTCTTTTATTGACAGCATTACCCTCCCAGTGGAGTCTGAATTGCTTCCTCTCATTAAAAAATACAAAAGAAACACAAGCAACATTTCATCAAGTTGACTTTTACCAAAATGATGATTTATAGTCCATCCAACTATTGACAGAAAAGATTCATTTTTAGAAAAATGAGGTGGTTGTGATGTAACTGAGATGAAGTCCATGAAGAAAGATCTTCGTAAATTTCATTGGTTGGCTGTATTGTTGAGTTAATCTTCAAAAAGCATGTTGCTAAAAGGGAAAGAACAATTGATGACTTAATTTCTAAATTTAAAACCTGTCATTTAAATGAATCACAATGGAACAGTCTGATTTTTAAATGAGGTCCCCACCAACAGTCTCCTGGCCTCCCTCCCAGCTAGCAAGTGACTCCTGTTCCCAGTCTCCAGGAAGATACTCTGGCCTTTCAGACTCACATTAATCAGATGCTAAGACATCAGGGTGAGCACACATTTTGGTCTCATAAAAGTCAGTCTAAGTCTGATCTGAATCTGGAGGCTCTGTTATCAGCAAATTACTGTGAAAAATGCGTAGGCTAAGGAAAACATAAGTTGATTCCTTGCACCTGGGGGTATCTTTCAATGACTCACAGGCAAAGCAGTTCTCTTTATGTTATGGGGTGAGTGTGTGTGTATTTTCCACTTGATATCCCTTCCAAGTCCCTGACATTCTGAAAGCACCCCCCAACACCCTTATTGACTTAGCTCCCTTCTTTCTCTCCTCTCTCTCTCTAACCATTTTTCTTTCATTTCTTCCAATTTTCACTTACAAAGTCAGAGCCCTTGTAAAGCTCTCACATTTTCCAGTTTCCAGGAGAATATTCTGGCTGTCCCATCAACCCAGATATCTGGTCCTTTCCTACCTACTTGTCTACTTGCCTTATACCAATTGCTAGCTTACCACTATTGGTCTAGGAGATCAGGTCCACAGGTACAGCTTCCATTAAGTTGACAACCCACTACATAGGTTGACCTATTTCTTTTATTTTTGAATCATAAGTTTTAAATCACTGTTTAAAAATAAATAAATGGGGCCAGTGTTGTGGCATAGCAAGTTAAGCTGCTGCCTGCAATGCCAGCATCCCGTATGGCCTCTGGCAGATCTGGCTCTTCCACTTCCCATCCAGCTCCCTGGTCAGGAATCTGGGAAATCAATGGAGGATGGCCCAAGTGCTTGGGCCCCTGCACCCATGTGGGAGCCCTGGAAGAAACTCCTGGCTCCTGGCTTAGCTTGGCCCAGCCCCAGCCATTGTGGCCATATGGGGAGTGAACCAGCAGATGGAAGATCATCATTTCCAAAGGAAATTCCATGCAAATTAGAGGGACCAATGTGGAGAGTATGGACATGCACAACTCAGGACCCCATCAGCCCAGAGACTCAGCACAAGCTTTTGAGTGAGGTGAGTCCAGACTGCAGCAGCCCAAACCACTGGTGATAAAGCTTGTGGGAAGAGCCTGGTGCAAGTCTGGCTTGGAGCCCTGGGGCAGACAGTGCACCTGCCAACCTAGAGGGGAAAAAAAGCAGCACCTTTCTCTCTCCCCAACCACCCTACACCAGTGTCCTATGACAAGTTGAGAGTGTGCCAGTGCCATTTTGGACATACTTAACAGCTGAGCCAGCTAGTGTCTACACACTCAGTAACCAGCTGAGAAGAGACCTCTGAGTCTGGCTGGGAGCATTGACAGGGAACTAGCTACTTGTGACTATGGGAGGCTTGTGCCTGGACTGAGAAAACACTGTGGCTGCATGGTGGAGTGCAGGGTATGGCTGGGACTTTGGGCAGTCACTGTAGGTGGTTCCACATGCTCAGGGATCCCTGATTCCCTGGTGAGGGTCATTGCTGTGGGATCCATGCTCAGACCAAGGACTGCATGGATCCTTTGTGTGGTTCTTGTGGCAGCATGGATGAATATTATACCCAGTGGGGCTAGTGCTCCTCATTTGAGGAGAGGATGTGAGTGTGAGAATATACCAACAGAGCAGAACAAACCTCCCCTCTGATTTAAAAAAAAGGGGGGGGGAGTTTACCATGCCTAACTTGGGGGTCACTTTAGGATATTCCACTCACCCTAGAGCACTACACAGAGCTCCCTGACCACACCCAGCACATCCCTCTGGGAATTCACTGAAAGAGGGGACACTTCAATAAGCCACAGAGGCATAGTCCAGAGATAAGACATCATAGGAGAAAAAAAAAGTATCTCCACAAATACCTAATAATAAATTAAGCAATTCAAGAAACAAGAATAAGGAAGACAACATGACGTCCCCAAAAGAACACAACACTTCAATACTAGAATGTGTAGATGAAGAGATTAAAGAAATGCCAGAAATGGAATTCAAAGAATTGATTGCAGGATTACTTAGAAGTAATCAGAAAAAAATTAATGAACTAAGGAAATCTGTACATGACATGAATGAAAAATTTTCTCAAGGAATTGAGATTTTAAAGAGAAATCAAAATGAAATATTGCAAATGAATAAATCCATTGAACAAATAAAAAATGCAGTGGAAAGCCTTAGCAACAGACTCAGTGAGGCAGAAGAAAGAATATCCAAATTAGAAAACAAATCTCTGGGAAATTTACAGTCAGACCAAAACAAACAAACAAACAAACAAAAAAAAAAAAAAAAAAACAAACAAGGAATTAGAAAACTAAAAAAGTAGTGTTAATTTAAAGGATACTATCAAATGACCCCAACATATGGGTCTTAGGAGTTCCTGAAGGCATGGAAAGAGAAAAAGGATTAGAAGGCCTTTTCAGTGAAATAATTATAGAAAACTTCCCATTTGGAGAAAGAAAGGAATGTCCAAGTACAGGAAGCACATAGAACTCCTAATAGACATGACCAGAAAAATCTTTACCACAACTCTCCGCAGTAAAACATAAAGAAAGGATTCTAAAATGTACATGAGCGAAACACAAGATCACTTTCAGAGGATCTCCAATTAGACTCACAGCTGATAAATGGAACTACATCAAGTTGAGAAGTTTCTGTATTGCAAAACAAATACTCAGCAAAGTGAAGAGGCAACTGACAGAATGTGAGAAATTATTTGCAAACTATGCAACTGATAAAGGATTAATAACCAGAATAGAAAAACAGATCAAGAACTCCACAAGAACAAAACAAACAACCCAGTTAAGTAATGGGCCAAGGACTTAAACAGACATTTTTCAAAAGAGGAAATCCAAATGGCCAACAGACACATGAAAAAATACTCTGGATCACTAGTCATTAGGCAATGCAAATCAAAATCACAATGAGGTTTTACCTCTCCCCCATTAGAATGGCTTACAAATGTTTGTAAGGATACATGGACAAAGGTACCCTGATCCACAGTTGGTTGGGATGTAAACTAGTACAACCACTGTGGAAGACAGTATGGAGATACCTTATAAATCTGAATATAAACCTACCTTATGACCCAGCCATCCCACTCCTGGAAACTTAGCCAAAGAATATGACATCAGCATATGAAAAAGTTCTCTGTATCCCCATGTTTATGTTTATTGCAGCTCAATTCACAACAGATAAGATATGGAATCAACCCAAATGCCCATAAACCGAAGACTGGATAAAGAACTTATGGGATATGTACACCATGTAATACTACACAGCAGTGAAAAAAAAATGAAATTCGTTGTTTGCAACAAAATTGATGAAACAGTACACATCATACTTAGTGAAATAAGCCAGTCCTAAAAGAACAAATACCATATGTTCTCCCTGATCTGTGATAACTAATAAAACAACAAAAAGATAATCTATAGAAGTCAAATTGACATTTTGTGATGCAATTTCTTTGAACAGCCCTTGTCTCGACTATTGAGGAAGAGGTTTTTTTTTTTTTTCATACTATTTGTTGAACTCTTTACTTAGTATAGAGTTAATCCTATGTGTATAAAGTTAATTAAAAATAGATCTTAGTAAAAAATAAGAATGGGAATAGGCGAGGGAGGAAGAAGAGGGGTGAGAATGCAGGTAGGAGGGTGGGTACAGGGGGAAGAATCACTGTTTCTAAAGTTATGAGATGCATGAAGTTTATAGTCTTCAAATAAAAGGCTTCTGGTGAAAAATTCATCTGCTATAGATTTATTGAACCACGAATCCTGCCTGCAGTTGCCTTGGCAGGGCCAGACCAAATTATTTTACCTGCCTCATATGACCCAGGTGCTAGACTTGCCTACTCTTGCTAACCCTGTATTTGGAAATCTTGCCTTAGAGTAACTCCACATGAAACCACAAGTAGTTAGAACTTTCTTTAATAGAAAATTTCTCCAAACACATTCGTACCCCTTTCCTACAGGTCTGACCTCAGCCACCTCTCTAAGACATTTAGAGCAAAGCACTTATAGGCCACCTCTCCTCAGCTTCGAGAGGGTTGGGAATTGTTGGAAAAATCAATTGTGCTTTTCAGGAAGGTCAAAGACTACCCACATTCCAGAAATAAAGCACATAACTATATACAATTTGGGATTTGGTTCCAGGAGGATTATGAACTGCCCCGGAAGACTCCATGGGCCCCAGTTTCAGAATCACTGATTTGTGCTGCAGACAACAGGAAATAATAGTCACAAATCAGTTCCAGGGTAGGAAACAAAAAGATGAAGATAGGGGCGAAAAACTATATCAAAAAAGTCCTAATTATTCTCCATATGATTTTATCAATAGGTTTTGAATAATCAAATATCAGAATCAACTTACAGTTTCCAGAGTCATAGCTGTTGTGTTAGAACTCGTCTTCTTACGATATTTCTTCCTGGTACAGTAGACACTGACAAGAGTGACTATTAGCATTGCAGCAAACACAGCGGCAGTAGAGGAAGCAGCAATGACAATGGTGTCTCGGGTTGAACCTCTCTTTTCACACCTTTCTCCTGAGTACCACCAATCCTTCCCTGATGGACACCTACACGTTGAGAACATGACTCAGTTATGAGTTGACCTAACTTTGGAAATCATTAGCACTAAAGGTGCTGATTATCTTTAGTCTATTTGATCACCAATAAGTCATTGACGCATGGAACTATTTCACCCACTCTGGACCAGAGGGAGACTGTTAGACTGGCACCAGGAGGCCATCAGGTGAAATAGAAGGGAAAAATAGAATTATTCCTAAGCTAACTCCAGAATAGCAGCTCCAAGGTAGAAAAGGGAACAAGCAAAGGTAAAAGAGAAAGTTTAGTTCTCCATTTTCTGGCTTTACACATTGGCCAAGATCTTCTCAGAACTTGTATCTTCATGTAAAAAATGGGACAGTCACACTTAAAAATCCCAACTATTATGATGACCTAATCATATCTGTAACTCATGAGGACTTTTCCTGGCAATTGGAATGAATGTGCTATTTTTTCATAAATAAGTTCATTGGACTTGTGGTTATCCAATGTCTCAAATGAAGAGCAAAAAATTAAATAATTTATGAATGGCTCTGAGATGAGAATCCACTGATGTCATTCATATGAATTATCAGTATTTAGTCCTACATTATGGGAATAAAACTTTTAAAAAACGTATTTTATTTATTTTAAAGGTAGAGTAATAGAGAGAGGGAATGAGACAGAGATCTTCCATCCACTGGTTCACTCCCCAAATGGATGCAATGGTTGGGGCTGGGACAGGTTGAAGCCATTAGCCCTGTACTTCAACCTGGTCTCCAACATGGGTGGCAGGAGCCCAAGTAATTGGGCTATCTTCTGCTACATTCCTAGGGGCATCAGCAGAGAACTGGATTGGAAGTGAAGTGGTCAGGACTCCAACCAGCACTCCAACATGGGATGCCAGCATTGCACGCAGTGGCTCAACCAGCTGCACCACAATGCTGTCCCCAGGAATACAACTTCTAACAAGAGAGAAAGCTTGCTTCTAAGTGACCACTTACCTGCACTCAGCTTTGCCGTTTCTGACAGTGCAGATGCCGTCATTCTCACATGTGATTTCTGAGCAGAGGTCATCAACGCTAGAGGTTGGAACTGGCTGATTTTGTGTGGAATTGAGATGAGAGACGTCTAAGAAGGGGAAGAGAAGAGCATGGATGGAAATCAGCCTTTGCTTCAGCAATCATTTGATTTTTAAGTTCAAAAATAAAAGGTGTTTGGGTTTCAGGTGTGTAAGAAATTCAGTTAACCTTAAAACTTAGTCTTGCAGCAGTCACAGGCAATGAAATTTCAAGAAGTAGGCAAAGGGAACCAAGGCTGCTGCAGCTAGAGCTTAACCACACACTACCTGAGCTGTCAGAGTTCTCAGGGGCACCAGCTCCTGACAGCAAAGAAAACTAAAGCTCAGAAGTATAAAGTAATTAAGGGTCTTGCTGAAGGTCATGGGTCTCTTGCCTAGTGGAGCAAGTTGGAGATTTCAAGGAAGACACCCAGCGTCTTGCCAAGTATGATGTTTAAACAGTGTTTTTGTTGCTTCTGATCAAAATAGAATCAAAGAAAGTTAATGAATCTGTGACCTTTTCCCTGTTACATAAAATGTCTTCTCTGTTATTTTCAAGAGAAATGAAGCCAGTATACAGAAGAGCAGTTACGTTTATTGCAGTACAATTCCCAATAGTCAAGAAATGGACTCCTTCTAGGTGTCTGTCAGCTGAGGAATGGATAAAGAAAATGTGGTTCATATGTGTATACACAGTGAAATATTACTCATCCATAAAAAATGAAATCCTGTCATTTGTGACAACGTGGATGGACCTAAGGGATGTCAGGCTAAATGAAATAAACTGGGCACAGAATGACAAATTCCACATGACCTCACTCATATGTGAATCTAGAAAAGTTGATCTCACAGAAGCAGAGAGTAGAAGAGTGGTTACCAGAGGTTGGAGAGAATGGAGGAGAGGGAAGGATGGAGAAACACTGGTGAACAGGGAGAACGCTACAGTTAGATAAGAGAAAGAAGTTCTGGTGTTCCTGTGCACAGCAGGGTGACCACAGACACAGACACGGTATTGTATATTTCAAAAAGTTAAAGGAAAGAATGTTAAATGTTCTCATCACAAAGAAATGATAAATGTTTGAGGAAATGAATGTGCTTATCCTGATTGGTATGTGTATTAAAACATCATATGGTAATCCATAAAAATTTCCAATTGGATGTGTCAATTAAAAAATACAAAAATAAATAAATAAATGTTTTTTTCTCTTGACTGAATGTGTTTTCCAAGAAGTGTAATCTAGATTTACTGTAATGGACACTGAAATAAAGCTTTCATGATTTTTAATTATTACACTTTTCATCACAAAGAAGATTCTGATTCCATAAAATACAAGTGGGTCTCTAAGAGTAAATGAACGAAAATCCTACTACATACAATATGGAAGCAACCATAATTCTAGAAAATATGCTTATTTGCTGCCACGGGTAAGAAATTACCATTATAGAATAGGTTATAGAATAGATTCATATTATTACTGTCTATATTTATGTATAAATGTGTGTCTATGTGTGTGTATGTACATGTATTTGCATGTATGTCTGTATATGTGTGTATTTCTGAAACAGATTATAAGACAGTCCATTTCAAGGTTAATTTCATGGCTTGTGAGATATTTTTATTTCTGTAATCCTGGAGTATAATCCTAGGGAGGAACAGCTGCATTTTAACTTATTTCTAAGTAGATTTTCCTATCTCAAGTATTCTACCACTGTTCCACATGTAAGTAATTAAATTATTTATCCTAGGACTCTCACTGCTTTAAATTAAATTATTTTCATATTGTTAATGCTTCATACCAAAGGAAAATTCATTCATGTCCATTTTCTCCCACATCTCTACATGATATATCTAATAATGAAGCCTAGAACACAGTGAATAATTAATGACTATTATAATAATGAAGCCAGCGCCGCGGCTCAATAGGCTAATCCTCCGCCTATGGCGCCAGCACACCGGGTTCTAGTCCTGGTCGGGGCGCCGGATTCTGTCCCGGTTGCTCCTCTTCCAGTCCACTCTGCTGTGGCCCGGGAGTGCAGTGGAGGATGGCCCAAGTCCTTGGACCCTGCACCCGCATGGGAGACCAGGAGGAAGAACCTGACTCCTGGGTTCGGATTGGTGCAGCACACTGGCCGTAGCAGCCATTTAGGGGGTGAGCCAACGGAAGGAAGACCTTTCTCTCTCTCTCTCTCTGTCTAACTCTGCCTGTCCAAAAAAAAACAAAAAACAAAAAACAAAAAACAAAACAAAACAAAAAAACAAAAAACAACCCAATAATGAAAAGGACAAACTTTTTTTCTTGACATACCTTCTACCGTCAGTAGGATAAAAGCATCATCTCCTTTTATAAAATCTCTGCTTCTCAGCCTCTCATAGGTTATAAAGGCACTGGTTCCATAGCCTCTACCTCTGCTATATTCTGTTCCATTAGGGAAAACCACCACTTGTCCCACTCTGGAAGGCCTGTCCCACAAATAGTTTCCATCATCTGAAAAAGCAATTTATATTAATGGACCATGTTTAGCATCATCATAGCTTTTGGTGGCAGGAAAGAACAGATGATGTGAAGGATAGAGCCCAAAATAATTAAGTGATGCTATTGACTTGTGATATATTCCCTGTAAACTACGGAGGATTGGTCATTTCAACTGTCCAAAGGAAATGAAATTGCCTGGCAGGGAGGGGCACACTCTGGGACATAAGTGAAGAGATACTCACACTTTCCTAGGTTTCCAAGGAGGGATACATTACATCTGTACTTACTGGCCAGTATAAAAACACTCCTGACTATTAGAATCTTTCCTTAGTGACTTCTGAGTTACAGATAGTCCTTTTAACTGAGTTAAAGCAATGCATTGATGAGAGACTATTTAATATTAACAGAACAATTTATCTCATTAACTGAATTATTAATATTACAAAGTCAAGTTGTTCAGGAGTAGAAGATAACAAGAAGCACGAATTCTGGGAAAAGGTGATAACCTATTCAACTCTGAACCATTTTCAATGTCATTCAAGAAAAAACATTTTGGGAAAAAACGTGAAGAAGTTCTGTTTGTCAAATCCCTACAACTCCCATTGTTATTATTATATTTTTCCTATCAGATGGTTATTTTTCTTTATCAACTTTCTCATACATAGAATTCATTTTGGCATGCTAGTCAATATGCCATAACTTCATTTTTTTCCTTTATTAGGTTCACATAGATAAAGATTATTGAAATTAGAAGTATGACCATTGCTTTCTGAAACTGTTTCCTTTTGAGATTAGAGAGTCAGGGCATGATGTCATTATTTGCAAGTTCTCTAGGGTTCTTCAATAAAAGGTTGTAATCCATTCCCACACCCTTCCCAATAACACTCCAGTGCACCTGCCCAACATCTTCCTTGTAGTCAAATATCACCACCATTCCAATAACTGATTGTTTCAACAATCCCAGCATATGAACAAGGCAGTATGCATGAGAATTCAAGATCTTAAGCTTCCGTACTGACCAGCACTAGTTCTCATAATAAATCTATAGGATTACTATTACAACTAAGAACACTGGGGTTCCAAAAGATTATTTTTTCAAGGTCATCTTGAACCTAGGCATGTCAGACTAGACTCAACTCTCCTGGAAGAACACTAGGAATTCAAGGATCATCATCAATGCCTAAAAATACTGTCAATATCTTCCTTATTTTCAGAGACTCTGTCCTTAATCATTGAAACCTTTCCCCTAAATATTTTCTATGTTTGGGATTCAGAGTTCAAAATTTCCTAGGTAATTGTGCAACCTTTGTTCCCAATTAATCTGATCCTCCTAGAGCAATGGTCCTATCAGAGCAGTAAAGAAAATGAGTCACGAACCGGTGGTCATAAATGGATCTGTAGTTATACTCCGCTGGTTGGACATACGCTGTTGAATATCAGGATTTTGATCCAAAAATGTCATTGTGGCTTGCTGCCAAGGACATGGCCACTGTAATTGATCATCATTGGCTCCAGAGATCAAGTGGAAATATATCCCTACATTAGTTGTAGATTCTAAATTTAAGTAAATTTGATAGGCATAACCTTTAGGAGAATAAAATGGAGGGCTATACAGACTTCCATTTGGGCTGCCAATGAACTGTGTGAAATTCCTTATATGCCATATGTTATGAGGACATCGTGTTTCTGAAAGATTGATGTCATCAATAGACAGACCACCCAATGATGCACCAGAGCCTCTGCGTCCTTCAAACACCACTCTAAATGTGTTGGCCACGTTCAATGTTACATGGTAAAGTTGCCAGCTCCCAACTGGTATTTCTGCAAAAGAGTTATCATGTTAGTTCAAAGAAGACAAAATACTATGAATTATGTGCAAATCAACATTAGAGTTCTAACCTTGGTAGACAAATGATCACCCAAGGGCTGCTGAGTCCTACAGGTTAGAGGTACGATTTTCTCCCTCTTTTGGCTAAGATTCACTTACTTCAAAGTATTTCTTTCTGCTCAGACTGGTCTCTAGATTATCTGAATTCTTTCCTAGTTGTTTCTCAGAGAGGTCACCTTTTCCCAGAAATATGTGAGCAAACACCAGTTTAACTCTTGAGGACTCTACGTTCTGCTTATGAGCTACCAGCCATCCTATATTAGTTAAAAGTCAAGCAAACCCAATATTCTAACTCCTATACCCAAGATTCCTGTGATGCTCCACCAAATCTTCATGAGCATTTTTATAGTTTGACTGGAATACATTCCTCACATGTAAAATTTTCAATTAACTTTTTGGCATTATTAAACAAGAACCCACCAAACTCTAGAAAGCCTATAATGTATTCCTTAGATCATTTACCAGGGACTCAACATCACAAGTATTTATCTGATATTTGGTACCACTTCCATTATCTCCAATCTACACTTCTTTAACCAATATCTCAATTCATTCAACCCAAAAGGTCTCATGGGATGCCACCTTTTTTTTTTTTTTCATCACATACTAAAATAATCAGTACACTAAAAATCTTCAGAAGCCTCTAGGTAAATAATATCTGAGGAATTCATGCCAAGCTAGTTGTTAATGCAATGATTTAAAACTTAAATATATCAGCACTTAATGCAAAACAAAATTGGTTGAAAACAATAAGAAATTTCCAACTTATGTAAATGCTGTTGTCTATGTACAGGTTCTAGACTGAACAAGAACCTTCCATGAGAACTTCCACCAGTTACTATCAGTACTATCAGTTTAAGTCCTGAACTCCTAAGAAAGTTCCTTGAGTGCCTTTTATATTGTTGTCTATTAAGAATAGACTACAGGGCTGGCGCCACAGCTCAATAGGCTAATCCTCCGCCTGCAGCACCGGCACACCGGGTTCTAGTCCCGGTGGGGGCGCCGGATTCTGTCCAGGTTGCCCCCTTCCAGGTCAGCTCTCTGCTATGGCCCAGGAGTGCAGTGGAGGATGGCCCAAGTGCTTGGGCCCTTCACCCCATGGGAGACCAGGAGAAGCACCTGGCTCCTGGCTTCGGATCAGCGCAATGCGACGGCCGCAGCGCGCCAGCCGCGGCGGCCATTGGAGGATGAACCAACAGCAAAGGAAGACCTTCCTCTCTGTTTCTCTCTCTCACTGTCCACTCTGCCTGTCAAAAAAAAAAAATAGACTACAGATTACTCAAGGAAAGATCCCTCTTCTAAGCCTGCACAATAATAAATAAGTATATAATTTTTATGGTAATATACATTTAAATACACAATAATATAATGTTTGTATTACTATATATGGCTTATCTATAGGGCTTCTATATATAAGAATCATATTTGATGCATAATGTATATCAAATATAATAGTATATTATATAGGATTTCCTATATAATAGATACACAACATGTGTATAGTGTTAGTGAGAATGAAGAACCTTATTGTTCACAGGTATTCACAAACAAAAATATTAGATATTTTTCTCATTGTTAAACAGAGGGAAAATGGCATGATGTATTATACATTATAGATCCATTTTTAATATTTTATAATAGATTTTACTCAATTCGTTCAACCAGAAAGGCCAATATGTGGAGGAGGCAATAGTCTATTTACCAGCCCACACCTCCCCACTTGTTCACCACGTGCTTTAGTAGGTGACCATCATGGCCTACCTCTTTGACATGAGATTGGTATGCAAGATGGGTGACTACTCTCCACTCAAGAATCACTACACAAGTTTTATTTAACTCAAATCATAATGATCATAATCCTTCACTGGTATTTATTTTTTTAGTTGTAAATTAAAAGAACAGTCCCTTTTCCAGTCTGAGGAGATACTAAGAGGTAAGCTTGTAAAACAGCCAAAGGACCTGTCTATGTGGACAAAACCATTTGGGATAAAATAAGAGGTCCCCAACAATGTTCAGGGATAGGCCCAGTACTATTAGTTCCTCTGTTCTCTGCTACATAATGGAGCTACACTGAGCCAGAAACTCTGCAGATTTTGCCTAAGCCAGTTCACAGTGTGTTTTGATTACATGACAAAGTGAACTCCATGATACCTGAGACTGAGTTCCAGTTTCTTAAGCAAGTGTCGGATAACACAGCCTACAAAGACTCCTCATTTGTGTTCCATGGCATAGTAATGATTTAGTGGTCCAAATCTCATTGTAAGTTGTTGTATTAAAAAAAAAAAAAGCTGAGATCACCTCATTCTGAACTTGAACAATAAGAATCTTGATCATGGGGCCAGCATAGCCAGTTAAGCCACCATCCGCAGTGCCAGTATCCCATATGGGCACTGGTTCCAGTCCTGGATGCTCCACCTCAGATCCAGCTCCTAGCTAATGTACCTAGAAAAGCAGTGGAGGATAGCCCAAGTGCCATGGGAGACCCGGAAGAAGCTCCTGGCTCCTGGCTTCAGCCTGGCCCAGCCCACATGGTTGCAGCCATTTGGAATTGAAGACCTCTCTCTTTCTTTCTCTCTCTCTCTCTCTCTCTGTAACTCTGTCTTTAAAATAAAATAAATCTTAAAAAAAAAAAAAAAAAAAAGGAACGTTGATCTTGTACCTTTCAGTTCTTCCACAAGGGTTAAACTACCATCCACATTGCCTGCAGGATACTCCCTGACGTAGATGTTCAGTTGATCATCTTCACTTCCACTGTTATATAAAAAGAATTGCAAGCACTGAAATCCTCTTTTTGGGTACAGTGTTCTACTTTCCAGCCTTGCTGTGGCCCCCACATTTACAGAGCTACTGTCGAAATGCATGAAGAAACCAGAACCTGTTCAGAGGGTAAAAGCAGAATTGAGAGAAAATAGATACTGGGTACAGCAATGTGTGTTTGCAATGGCAGTGGGAAATTCTTTACATGAAGTATAACTAGCATCAAGATATAAATCACAAGGTAGAAAGTTCAGAAGCCTAAGCTATATGTCTGGCACTTGGAAAAGCTAGCTGGTTGACATAATGGAATAAAACTGAACATTTCCATCATTCAGAAATTGTTTACTTACAGTAATTGGAGTTTTCAGGTGCATGCTGATTTTTGCTTACCTTGATTTCTATGAGCTGTAAAGATAGAGCAAGCTTAAGCATCAATTGCTATTTAAAAAAAAAAAATCCAGCGGTGAGCCTTTGGCACAGTGGTTAACATGCCAGTTGGAATGCAATTGGAGTGACTGAATTCAGTTCCTACTTCCAGTCCTGATTCCAGCCTACCACCAATACAGATCCTGGAAGGCAGCAGATGATGGTTCAAGAAGTTGAGTTTCTGCCACCATGTAGAACTACGCTGAGTTCCTGCCCCCTAGCTCCAGACCCAGCCCAGCCCTCCAGCCATTACAGGCACTGGGGCAGTGAACTGGTGGATAGGAACTCTCTCTTCTCTGTTAGTCTCTGTTTCCTCTCTCTCTTTCTGCCTGTCTCTGTGTCTCTCCAGTGTGAGACTTCAGGTTGTGCCTAAACAGCAGACAAAAAAGGAGACTCTGCAAGGAACAGTTTTCAAATTTTCTCAATCCTGCTCCAGTTCCCAGCTGAAATAGCTCCCACTTGCAAATGCTAAAGAGTATTCATCTCCCTCCATAAGCATGAAAACAGAATTGGATATTAATTCAGAAGGAGGGTGTGAAACTTTTTTAGGTGTAGTTTTGTACACTGTAATTAAAGGTGAAGTTGTAAGTATTTCTAGAGAAGTAAACACCCTTTGTGAGGGCAGGAGAAAAAGCTCAGCCAGAAAACTAGGGCCTTTGCTGCCATGCCCATTGCTGAACATTTTTTATTTTTATTTATTTGAAAGGCAGAGAGACAGAGATAGACAAGCAGAGAGATCATCCATAAGTTGGTTCACCCTCCAAATGCCTGCAACAGCTAGGGCAGGGCCAGGCCAAACCCAGGAACCCAAAACTCAATTCAGGTCTCCCACGTGGGTAGCAGGAACTCAAGTACTTGAGTCGTCACATGCTGCCTCCCAAGAAGCGCAGTAGCAAGAAGCTAGAAGTGGAAGTGGAGCCAGTACTTGAACCCAGTCACTGATATGGGATGTGGGAGTTCCAAACAGCATCTTAATGTATCAAATTTTTAAAACAATTTCTAAGTTGTTTTTGCATTAAACTACCAAAAAGAAAAGTAACTCAATTTTCAGTAGATATTGGAAGACTAGCATTATGGTGCAGCAGGTTAAGCTACTGCATGCTACTCTGCCATTCCATGTCAGAGGGCTGGCTCAAGTCCTGGCTGGTTTGCTTTCAATCCTGCTTCTTCCTAATGTGCCTGGGAAGGTAGCAGATGATAGCCCAAGTACTTGCCCCTGCCACCCACTTGGGAGACCAGAATGGAGTTCCCGGCTCCTATTTCCTTTTAAGATTTACTTGTTTGAAAGGCAGAGTTGCAGAAAGGCAGAGGCAGAGAGAGGGAGAGGTCTTCCATCTGCTGGTTCACTCCCCAGATGGCTGCAACAGTCAGAACTGAGCCGATCTGAAGCCAGGAACCAGGAGCTTGTTCCGGGTCTCCCATGTGAATACAGGGGATCAAGGCCTTGGGCCATCTTCTACTGCTTTCCCAGGCCATAGCAGAGAGCTGGATTGAAAATGGAACAGTCGGGACTTGAACCCGCACCCATATGGGATGCCCGCATTGCAGGTGGCAGCTTCACCTGCTATGCCACAGGGCCGGCCCCTCCTGGTTTCTTTTTGGCCCAGCCCTGGCCATTGTGGCCATTTGGGGAGTGAACTGGTGATTGAAAGATCTTTCCCTCCCTCTCTCTGTGTTACTCTCCTTTTCAAAATAATAATAATAATAAAGTACAGCAACAACCAGGTAAAGTCCACATTTTAATATTAAAATTATATTCATTAGATTGGGAATAACTAGAGTTGGTAATTTCAAAGGTTCTTCCCAGTTCTTTGCTTCCTTTGTCTGGAAACTCAAACTTTTAAAACACCTCTAAAGGAAGGCAGAACTAGCAATTCTGACCTGAGTTCTTTATTCTTCAAATTTGTTTATTTGATTTTAAATATTTTTTTATTTTCCACCTTAAGCAGGTGCTATGATTTCAATAGATTCCCCTAAAGTTCCCGTATTGGAAACTAAACCTCCAAATTCATATGCTAATGGTATTGGGAGGTGGGGCCTTTGGGAGGTGATTAGGATTAGATGAAGTCTCTACCCTTCAAATAAAAGAAAAAAATTTAAAAATTTTAATGAAAATAAAATGTTTATAAACAGAAAGACTAATAAAAATGCATGTGCATTGAAACATGAAAATGAAAGCAAAAGCACATTTTAATTATCAAAGACCTCAACCCCCAACTGGATCATTTGAACTATCAAGCCTTATATACATGCCGTCAGAAATGAGGAAATAAAATAAAATCTGGTACTTGTAGCCAAAGGACTACTTAATTCAAGACAAAATTAAAATGAGAAAAAGTATTCATCTGAAGAAAATTAAATAAACTGTGCTTCCTACCTTCAGAACATGTAATCACAGTCAACTACAATTCTGACACTGAATAATACAGTCTAGAGCTGTCCATTGGGAGGACATTGTATTCTGTAAGCTACTAGAAAACACTGCTACCCGTGAGCTAAAAGTCCTTCCAAGAGGTACTGTCCTCTCATGCTGTGGTCAAGAACTGACAGAGGCATCACAGAACCCTGCTCAGACATGCGGAAAGAAACAAACTGAGAAAGTAAAAGCAAAGAAATTAACTATGTTCTTTTAAGGCACAAGACCTACCTATTCCCTAGGAGCAATCTAATGGGTGATCGGTAATAATTCTGGTAGAAATTAGAGATAAAACCCCCATCTTTCATAATGAGAGGAAAGGCTCGAAGCACTAAATGAGAAATCTAGAATTAAATCACTCCTGTTACCTTCACACTGGCCCATGTTGGAATGATCGGTCTCCGGCCCCCCAGAAGCCCGAGAAACGCGTTGCCAGTCAGCAGCATCTCCTGAACCTTGGATCATGCCACACACATTTTCCAGTTCAAAGTTGCACGAGTCCATAAAACTCAGGGAAGAAGCTACAAAAGGCAGAAAACAATTATTGATACTCATACAACATTATCTGCATGATACCAGTGAGTGTGTCACAGGAGTAATAGGACAAGCCAGGATGGTGCTAAAGGTGATGATAGCTTCAACACCCCTCCTTGTTTGCAAAGGCTAACCTAGGGATGAGTAACTGTGGATCTGAATAAACTGCCCACCCCCAGTCTATTTTTAATTAATTGTCTATTTCTGTAAGTCTGCACTCCCCTAGTTATCTTTCTTTTTCTTTAACAGGCAGAGTGGACAGTGAGAGGGAGAAACAGAGAGAAAGGTCTTCCTTTTTCCATTGGTTCACCCCGCAACGGCCACTGCGGCCGGCGCACCACGCTGATCCGAAGGCAGGAACCAGGTGCTTCCTCCTGGTCTGCCATGCGGGTGCAGGGCCGGAGCACTTGGGCCATCCTCCACTGCCTTCCCGGGGCACAGCAGAGAGCTGGACTAGAAAAGGAGCAACCAGGACAGATTCTGGCGCCCCAACTGGGACTAGAACCCGGGGTACCGGCACCCCAGGCGGAGAATTAGCCTATTGAGCCACGCCGGCCATTCCCTAGTTATCTAAATTATTAAGCCACAATCCAGATTATTTGATCCCATTTATATTAAACTATAGATCACATTTTAGCTGAAAAGAGGTTTGGGTAACAAGTTGGTGTAAATTTGCATTAGTAACAACTTTGAAAACCTGCCTGGGGCATATTCTTACAAGGCTTAAGTTGTTTTTAGATCGCAAAGCCAGACCTTGTGAGAAGAAAGGTAAACTTCCAACTTGCAGTTGGAATCTAGGTGCTATTCTAACTCAGTTTTTTTTTTTTTTTCTGGATATTAAACTTCTATAATCTCAGAAAACCCCAAATGGCACAGATCATCATTTTTCCTACATAGTGGAGGAAAATCAAAGTCATTTCAAAGAACCTGTCACATACTGCAGTTATACAATCGATTCAGCTTTAAGAGATCATAGTCGCTGAAGTCCATTCGTTGGCCAATCACATCCTCAAAGTCTGAGATCCTTGTTACAATGGTTGGCTCTGTTCCATTCTGGAATGCAGTTTTACTGTAGTGCATTACTGAAGTGTAATCATAGGGGACATTCAGAGAATCTGATACTTCGTCATCATAGATGTTAAAATTGTGTTCTCTGCCTACATAATACATTAAAAAATCCAATTACTTCATGTACACAAAATTCAATTTCTCTTATTCAAAATGCTGTTTACTTAGAAATGGAGACTATAATAAGCTAGAGCAACCTTTGCTATAACTGATCCACTGTATTTCAAATGTTTTGTATATTTGTATCTTAGAATATAATACCCAAACTTAGAATTGCAATGCCAGCAGTCATATTGAACACATTTAAGGTTCCATTACAGCCCAAAGTTCATACATTAGCATTTGGTCTAAGGCTCTAAGAACTGCTAACACGAAGGAGAAATCTAAAAATGTGATTGAGGGGCAGGCATTTGGCCTAGTGGTTAAGACTGGCATCCCATATCTGAGTACCTAGGTTGGAGTCCTGGCTTCACTCCCAATTCCAGCTTTTTTTTTAAGATTTATTTTTTTATTAATTTGAAAGGCAGCAGTACAGAAAGAGGAGGCAGAGAGAGAGAGAGAGAGAGAATCCTCCATCCACTGGTTCACTCCCCAAATGCCCACAAGGGCCAGGGTTGGGCCAGGCCCAGAGCTTCTTCCAGGTCTCCCACATGGATGCAGGGGCCTAAGCACTTCTGCTGCTTTCCCAGGTGCGTCAGCAGGGAGCTGGATCAGAAGTGGAGCAGCTGGGTCTCGAATTGGCACTCATATGGGATGTCAGCATTGCAGGCGAAGGCTTAACCTGCTACTCCACAACGCTGCTCCCCCACCCCCTTGTTCCAGATTCTTGGTGAAGCACACCCTCTGAGGCAACAGTGATAGCTCATGTAATTGGGCTCCTGCCACACCCCTAGGATACTGAGTTGAGTCCCCAGGGCCTGTCTTCAGAGCCACTGCAGACATCTGGGGAATGAACCAGCAGAGATCTCTTTCTCTCTTTCTGTGTGTTTGTGTCCTTCTCTCTCTCTCTCTCTCTCTCTCTCTCTCTCTCTCTCTCTCTCTCCCCATCTTTCTCTCTGCCTCTTAATTCACAGAAATACATTTCTAAAAAGTGCAGTTGAGAATAGTCAGGTTCACTGGCCAGAGATGATAGAAGATTGGGGGCATCCACAGCTAATAGAGATTAAAGTCAGAGGATGCTGGGAGGGTAGTGAGATGGGACCTGGTAATGACCACATAGAGTAGGAGGCATTGGAAAGGACTGACATAATCAGGGCTTTTATGGTTATTGGAGTGGGTGTACTTAAAGCATGGTGACTGTTGTATGATAACGTATTGTATATTTCTAAGCTGGTGAGTGAGTAGATTTTAAATATCATCACAAAAAATGGTAAGTAAGGTGCTGTATATATGTTAACTAGCTTGTTTTAATAATTTCATAGTATGTACTTATTTCAAGACATTATATTATATCCTATAAATATATGCAATTATGATTTATTAATTTAAAATAACTATTTTTAAAATAAAAATGAATTCATTTAGAGAAGATACCAGAATTCTTAGCACCCTACCAATGGGCAACCTGAGAAGGGTCAACATTGTGAACACCGTGAGATGGATCTGATCTCCAAATCATACATATTATCAAATGTGGACCTAAGTTTCTACCGAAAATAAGACTGTGGGAATCCTAAAGAATGAGGTTGTGGATGAAAGCCAAACACTTCTTTTGCTCTAGAAATCTGTTAGCTTGCTGCTATACAGCAGTATAAATGTAAGTTGAATTTCCTTAACCTAGGGTTTCCCAAGCTAAATTGACCACAGATTCCTGGTCACCCATGAACATGCCTTGGGACAGCACACCACAGGACATGCTCTGGGAAACCAAAAATCAGTTTCTAAGATCATATGCAGTTCAAAAGTATGGTACTAGAGTTCTGGGAAGCTAGTATCCCAAGAACTTTAAGGCACTTCAACTCATTGAATTAGAGCTAAATGAAGTGGGACATTGAAACATCTGAACTTATCAAGCATTAACAGGTGGCCCAAATGGCAGAAGAGAATTCACAATTAGAAACTCAGTCTTCAAAAATGTAAAAAAACCATGTATAGACCTGGCCTGGTCCAGACCTAGCTGTTGTGGGCATCTAGGGATTGAAGAAGCAGATAGAAGCTCTTTCTTTGTCATGTCTCTGTCTCTTTGCTTTTCAATATGAATGCCTTAGCATTCATATCTCAAGAAAAAAAAAACAAAAATATACTTGTTAATGTTATCACTATTGAGCAATTCACCAAAAAATATATTGCTTATCTTGAGTTAATCCCATCACTTATATTTAATATTTTTTATAAAATTTAATCACTCAGTAAAAACTATCACAAAACAAGTATTTGATTATTCTCGATATCCTTAATTTTAATTTTTATCCCTAATCATAATTTTTCAAATATACATTATGAATATAAGAAAACAAGAGAAATGTACCTGACAGAATTCTGTCCCAAATTATGCTGACATAGTCATCCCGATCAGAACGGGATTGCTCGTGCCAGAATCCCAGCGCATGGAGAAACTCGTGCTGAACTGTAGCTATTCGGTCACAGTTGGCCCCAATGGAAAGTTCTTGCCTCCCAACATGCCTATTTCCTACATAGGACCAGCAGCTTTTAAGAGCATTTACAGGAGAAGGGGGAGAGTTGTTAGAACGATGTGCATTGAGGTCTTAGAGCAGAATCCCCACTGCCCAGTCCACTTGGTCACCCAACTAAATCCTTTCCTCAAGTGGACACTGCGTTTCTCTCATAACCTGGGTGAGCGAAGAATACCTCACAGACCAGATAACCTTTGGAGAACTTTTACTAACACCAAATATGTGTAGGAGCAAGTCATCCCCCAGTCAGCATAGCCCTGTTTTTTCCTGGAAATTTCAAAGGCTTTGAAATCAGCCTTGGTATGTCTCTCCCCATCCACAGGTGTCTTACAGGGAAGCCACCACTCGGAGTTGCTGAGCTTCAGTCAAATGGCTTGTTACGTTCTTAACTCAAGTAATAAGAGCAATAATTTATTTAACAGCTAAAATAAATTTAGATATATGTGCACAATAAACATACATGTGTACATATGTATTTTACTTGAAGGGGGAAATAAAGACCATGTAAATTTCAAGCAGCCTGAAACTCACCAGGTTGGGTTTATAATCCCACTCACCTTGTCTTCATCTTGGTAACGTGGTTGCATATATGATAATATTCTTTTTTCTTTTTTTGAGATAACCTATTTGTAATTTATATTATTCTCAAAGACTTAAAGTCTCCACTAAATAAAGAGTTCAAATAAAAAATAAAAAGATCATAGTCCAGTAGGAAAATAGGCAAGGGTTATAAACAGTAATCAAATGAAAAGATGTTCAATTTCACTTATACAAAGTTTAAAATAGCAACAAAATATTAAAACTATTGTGATATAATTTCTCTCAATTTGTTTGACAAATTTAAAACAAAGTTTAACAAAACACTGTATTTGCAGCAAAACTGATATACACAGACTTAAAATATTTTTTGTATGGCTAGAAAAACCATATTCACTGTCTTTCACTCTCCAGAAAACAAGAGGAAGTCCCCAGCCCATCCTAAAGGTCAAGGTCTTGGACAATTGCTGTGATATAATACCCCTTAGCACCCTCAGGAGACAAGCTCATCAACTTACCCGCTGCCCTTAATCACTGATATATAGTTAGCTTCTCCAGACCAAGGCTTGAAGTCAATGCATGTTTTTAGACGGTAGCGTTCAAATGCATTAAGGATCACTCCCTTAGCATTTATATCTAAAGGAAAAAAACAAAAAATACCCTTGTTAAAGTTATCACTATGGAGCATCTCACCATGTAATATGTTGCGTGAGTTAGTCTCATCACAAATATTTAATATTTTATTTTTATAAAATTTAGTAACAGTAAAAATTAAATATTGTGTAACAAGTATTTGACTATTCTTGATATCCCTAATCTCATTCCCTATTCCTCTCGAGCCTATTAGTGATATATACCTAAAAATAAACATTTTTAGGAATGTTTAGGAGTTTCCACTTTTTAATTTAAAAATTCATTTATTTGAAAGGCAGACAGAGTTAGAGAGAGAGAGAAAGGGAGAGAGAGAGAGATCTTCTATATGCTGGTTTACTCCCAAATGGCTGCAATAGCTGGAGCTGGGCAGATCAGAAGCCAGGAGCCTCTTCTGGGTCTCCCACGTGAGTGCAGGAGTCTACATTTTTGGGCCATCCACCACTGCTTTCCCAGGTGCATTAGCAGGGAGCTGGATCAGAAGTGGAGCAGCCAGGACTCAAACCAGTACCCATATGGGATGCCCACAAACCCGTGCCCATAAGGGATGCTGGTGCAGGCAGCTGTTTAACCTGCTACAGCACAGAGCTGGCAAGGGAGTTTCCGCACCTCAGGGAATATACAGATAATATCACAGGCAATCAAAATATAGTCACCATCACGTGCTTCATCCGAGAGGCTGCAATACATACTTAGAACCCTACAGCATGGCTTTTAATCTGAGAACTTTGAGATGGGAGGGTCATGAGTACCCTGAGATAGTACGTAAAATACATCTCTATCTGTACACCTGCAAACACAAAGTGCATTTTCCAGGGATCATTTTGATGAGATTCACAAGTAAGTTCAGGGCTCCAAATAGGGTTAAGAGCAATTGCTTTGGAGACAAATGTGAAGCCATGGGGTAGATGGATGTGGGCCTCAAAGAAGGCAGGGTTATGAAAACAACAACAACGACATGCAGGAAAAGAATCTCCAGGGGTGATGGAGAGGAAGAGGTGCATGTGGAAGAATCATCACAAATAGTGATGGTGCTGGTGAGATGAGGCAGGGCTGCCTGCCAGGAGCTGGCAGATGGTAGGACACAGCGGGAAGTGCTTTGGAGCCAGGCACACCTGAGTCCTGCCCCAAGCTCCCCACTTCCTTTGGTCCTATAATCTTTGCCAGTTTTATTAACCTTTAGAGCTCTGGTGTTATCATCAGTTTAGTGAGGACATAAATCCCCCTTTCAGGGGTAGTATGAGGGAAAAAAGAGTAAGGAAGGTAAAGCCCCAAGGAAGTTGAGCACCTGTTGAGCACTAGCACCTGTTTACTCAAACCACCTTCTTCTTGATCTCCTGCAATCAAGCAACAAATCTAACACCTGTTTCCTAAATCTTTTTTTTTTTAATTTTTTTAGCGATTTATTTATTTATTTGAAACTCAGAGTTACACAGAGAGAGGAGAGGCAGAGAGAGACAGAGAGACAGAGAGAGAGAGAGAGAGAGAGAGAGATCTTCCATCCAATGGTTCACTCCTCAATTGGCCGCAACGGCTGGAGATGCAGCAATCCGAAGCCAGGGGCCAGGAGCTTCTTCCAGGTCTCCCACACGGGTGCAGGGGCCCAAGGACTTGGGCCATCTTCTACTGCTTTCCCAGGCCATAGCAGAGAGCTGCATCAGAAGTGGAGCAGCCGGGTCTCGAACTGGCACCGATATGGGATGCCAGCACTTCAGGCCAGGGTATTAACCTGCTGTGCCACAGCGCCAGCCCCCTAAATCTCCTTTAGATTTATCCACTTTCTTCTATCTCCACTGAGAGTCTTCATTCCAAACTTTTCATTTCTTCTTTGATTTTCCCCAATAGTTTCCTAACAGGTCTCTCTACTTTTTTTTTTTTTTTTTACTCCATCAATTACATGTCTTCTATACTGCAACTAGTGTGATTATTCTAAATGCAATTATAGGGGCTGATATCGTGGCACAGCAAGTTAAACCACTGCCTATGATACTGGCATCTCATATCAGAGTGTCAGTTCATGTCCAGATTGCTGCTCTGCTTCTGATGCAGCTCCCTGCTAATGCACTTGGGAAAGCAGCAAAAGATGATCCAACTCCTTGGGTCTCTGCACCTACTTGGGAGACCAGGATGGAGTTCCAGGCTCCTGGCTTTGGCTTGGCCCAGCCATTTGGAGAGTGAACCAGTAGATAGAAAATTAATCAGCCTCTCTCTCTCTCTCTCTCTCTCTTCTTTTCCTCCTCCTTCTCCTCCTTCTCTTCCTCCTTCTCCTCCTCCCCCCTGCCTTTCATATAAATAAAATAATTTTTTTAAAAAATGCAATTATATTGGGGCCAGCACTGTGGCATAGTAGGTAAAGCTGCTACCTGTGGCCCCAGAATCCCATAAGGGCACTGGTTTGTGCTCCAGCTGCTCCACTTTTGATCTAGTTCCCTGCTGAGGCACCTGGGAAAGCAGTAGAAGATGGCCTAAGTGCTTGGGCCCCCAAGCCCATGTGGGAGACCTGGAAGAAGCTCCTGGCTCCTGGCTTCAAATCAGCCCAGCTCTGGCCATTGTGGCCATTTGGGAAGTGAACCAGAGGATGGATTCCCTCTGTTTCTTTCTCTCCATCTCTCTCTCTCTCTCTCTCTCTCTCTCTCTCTCTCTGTAACTCTGCCTTTCAAATAAATAATCTTTTAAAATGCAATTATAACAATCTGACTCCCACAACAAAACATTTGGTCATTCTACCATCAGTACACATTCCAAGTTCCTTACTATGGGAAGGTCATTCTCAATCTGGGTCACACCAACCTGTTCATTTCAGTAGCTCCTACTCCCAATCAAAATCCAAAGTAAGGTCTCCTTTCTCCATGTTCCATAAGCCTAGCACACCCTTCCCTTGCTCAGACTGTACTAAACCTTATGGTGCCTTTATGCCAGTTAGAAAGATACACTCCATCTGGGCAGACACAGCAAGTGCTGGCTGGCCGGAGGGATGAACAGTGCTTTCAAATGCCTATTAGTGAACAGAACACAAACCGCAGTCCACTTGCCCCACCTTGTAGGCACCTATGTACATGGGTACAACTTGCATCATCTCCATGGCAGCCCCACCACATGGTGTCACCTGCTCCTGAATGCCTATGCCTTTACATCCAGGTTGAGACAAATATCCCTCCAGCGTGCTCCTCTGGCTCTTTGAACATACCATGAATCATGATATTTTTCCATATTATTTTAATTCATGTTCAGTTTCACTTAATGTCCTCTGGAATGCATAATCTTTAAGGAAAACACTGTTTTCCCCCCAACAAATGTTTCCCAAAGATCAATTCTCAAACTGATGCTAGTCAGTGATTTCATTGTCACCAGTCACTAAATAAAATGACAATCATGTTTAGAGTTACCCATTACAATGAAATTTTTTCTATAGAAAAACATAGCTTTAGATTAGATTCTTTGGACTTTTGAGAAATTTAATACTAAACTTATAACATTATTTTATGAATTGATGGTAAAATGGAGGAAGTTCTTGTTGTCATTTAATAAAATAAACAAAAAATAAATCTTGGCTTAATAAAATCAAATGTTGGTAAAACAATACCAGTCCCTAAACTTAGTTCTTGATTAACTATTTTGGATATTTTTAAATCATAAGTAAAATCTGAACAAATAGTAAACACTGCTTTAAAATAAAAAGTAACTCCTTAAACTATATCCCTTTTGTCTAGCATAGAGTAGAATCTACATAAATGTTGGTTGAATTAATCACTGTGTTGGTCAAAATGCAGCAAATATTTCAAACACAATCATTAAGGTTCTTTTCATTTTTCATTTTGTTTACTTTTTAAATGAATCTGCAGATCCACAAAAAGGAAAAAAACCTTAAATTTCATACAATCCTTCCCTTAAAAACCACTGTACTCATATGCTGTCAGGAACATCCACTAGTTATAGATACTTCAAGGTGCATACTAACCCAAGCTGTCTTCTAGAACATATGGAATGGTGTGAGGCCATCTATACATTTCTCCAATGATGGAATTTCTGTCTTGTGCCTGTTAAATAAATGTTGAAGAGGGCTAGTTAAATGAATTAGGCAAAAACATACAAAATAATCAATAGTTAATCTAGAAATAAATGGGGTTTAAAGCTCACCCAGTTCAGTCAAAACAAATTTTGTATTTTATCGTAATCTAACAAAGTTTCTAGGGAGAAATCACTAATTTCATTAATTTAGTTGATAAAACTGGAGAAGGAATCATGTAAAAAATGATTATTGAAAACTGAACTATCAATATTTATAGACTCATAGGTTAGAGTTTCCTACACTAGAGATTAAAAATATATGAGAAGGAGGTGATAGCAAAGAATCAAAAAATCTATAATTCATAATATTAGAAAAAGTCACCTATGAGCTAGGTCAATTTTCCAAATTTTCAGGAGATCTTAAATGCTCTAGAAAATGAATATTTCATTACTGTGTCTGTCCCATCAACAAACTAAATACTATTCTATAGAATAGGGATCCCTTGGTAATATAGCTACCAAGATCTCTACCATCATGGAGCTTATATCTAGAGCAGGAGACAAAGAATGTGTAAAAAAGTGAAAAAACCCAAGGTGAATTTAAAAGTTGCAGAGAAAATAGAAAAAAAGGATAAGGGGAAGAGTAAAGGGACGTGGAGCAGAGAAGTGGTCAGCACTGGCCTCCCTGCAGGGATGACATTCAAGATGCAATGGGAACCACAGGAAGGAGTTCGGATGGAAAGGGGCCTTGTGGTGGGAATGTGCTTGGAATGTTGTGTGTGTTGGGCCCAGGAGCCTAACTCATTAGTTAGGAGAGAAAATGTATGAGAGGAAAGAAGAGCAGAGATGAAGGAGAGGGAGGCAGGAGTTAAGGGCTAGGGTTATGTGTGGAATTCCTCTGACTGTGATGGGAGCTGTAGAAGGGTTTCAAGCTAGGAAGTGAAATGGTGTTACTGACTATTGAAAAGATGACTTTGCTGTGGAGGGTAGGGACAGGTATAGGTTAGAAATGATTAAAGAAGAGCAATGTTTAAAATAGAAAAGACAAATTAGGAGACTATTAGAAAAACCCAGGCAAGAGAGGATGGAGCTTGAATTAGGCTAACAGAATGGTTGGAGATGTAGGGTATATAGTGTGTTGGAGACAGAAATAACAGAACTTGCTGATGGGCTGGACAGAGAGTGAGGAAAGGGAAGACGTGAATGGGACTCATTTTATTTTTTCCCATGGGGTGGGGGTGAGGAAGGAACATAGAACTTACAAAGGTGAGAAGGGAGAGAGGAGGAAGGCTTTGTCGGACAAGTCAGGATACACTCCATCAGAGGATATCTTAGGTCTGCCATCTTGTAGACATTGAAATGGCGCTAGCAAGCTGACAGCCGGGTAGATTGCTCTGGCGCTCAGAAAAAGGACAGGACCAGAGTTATGCTTCTGGAGTCAGTGGCATAGAGATGGCATTTAAAGCCCTAGCCAAGGTGAGATTGAGAGGAAGAGTACACAGATCAAAGAACATGATCAAGGGGCTGGCATTGTGGCATAGTGAGTAAAGTCAGCATGCCATATGGGCACTGGTTCAGGTCCTGGCTTCTCCACTTCCAATCCAGCTTCCTGCTATCCTGCCTGGGAAAGCAGTGGAAGATGGTCCAAGTCCCTGGGCCCCTGCCACCCATGTGGGAGACCTGGAAGAAACTCCTGGCTCCTGGTTTCAAACCGCCCACCTCCAGCCTTTACGGCCATTCAGGGAGTAAACCAGTGGATGGAAGATCTCTCTGTCTGTCTCTCTCTTTTTTCCCCAAAGAAACCTTTTATTTAATGAGTACAAATTTCATAAGTACAACTTTAGGAATATAGTGATTCTGTCTCTCTTTTTCTCTCTGTCTCTCCTCTTTCTCTGTAAATCTGACTTTCAAATAAATAAATAAATCTTTTTAAAAAATAAAAGAACATGGTCAAGACTCAGCCTCCAATCCCACAGCTGTTTCTTGCAGGGAAGCTCCTGGTGAGATTTGGGGTGATATAATTGTGCTTCAGGTGTGGAGATGTAAGGGACTCAGGTGTGTATCTGTGGGACAGTAGAATTTTACAAAAACAGGCTATTTGATTATTGTTAGATAAAGAGTGTATAAATATTTAAACTATTTTTAATGTGTAGTTCTTTTTAAAAATGTTTATTTTAAAGGGAGGGAGGGAGGGAGGGAGGGAGAGAGAGAGAGAGAGAGAGAGAGAGAGGTTCTATGTGCTAATTCACTCCCCATATGCCCACAATAGCCAGGGCTGGCCAGGCCAAGACTGGAGCCTAGAATTTCATCAGGATCTCCCACATGGGTCGCAGGAACCCAAGTACTTGGATCATCATCTAATGCCTCCCAGAATGCATTAGCAAGAAGCTGGATAAGAAATGGGGGAGCTGGGACTGACGCTGGCACTCAAATATGGAATGCAGCTGTCTCAGGTGGACAGCTTAATCCACTGTGCCAAAGTACCTTCCCCAAAGGTGCATTTATTTTTAAATTAAGTGGTTCTTGTCAAATTGTCTTCTCTATTTTTTAAGGTTACATACTCTCCCATGTAATAACATAAACACATTCGTAAACAAGCCCCTTTTTCTCTCCATCAGCACCAAAAGTGATAGTAAGTTTTTAGATCTTTTCAATCTGGCGGACAATGAACTATATCACGTCTTTAAAATAGTGTTTAGGAAGGCAAACACTTGTGCCCCTTGTCTCTACACATGTGGGCCATGTTTGTCCGCGGGTCCTGGTGACTCTGTCAGGTTCAGCACTCCGTGCAAAGGTTTGGGAGGACCTTTATCTGGCAACACTATTTTTAGCTGAGTTCAAGGGAGAAGTCACAACATGTGTTTCTTGTGGTGAAAAGCCTAATTCAATGCAAATGTTCACAAAGTGAGTTTAATATTGTTTCCACTAGGTTGAAATCAGTGAGGTTCTATTTTAAAATGAAAAGGCTATGTTACTCCAATAATGAAAAATCAATCAAATCAATAACATTAAGACACATGTAGTTAAGTTAAAATTTGAGTAATGAAAGATGAAGTCATTATTATATGAATCCCGTCAAGTACAATGCACTTGAATAAATGTGCCACCATGAGTCTGTGCTTGGGCTGGGCTTATCAAAATCCATGCTGTCCAGTCATCCTCAACTACTCTGTATTTAGCTTGTAGTGATTAGTAAAAGGATCTTCCTTGCACTGTTTCAACTCACCCCAAGTTTGATGTCTCCCTCAAAAAGATCCAGTCCCAAATCTAGAAGTGAAGTTAAAAATTCAAGTTAGCAAAATGCATTCAAATTCTCCATTTAATATAGGATATAAAAAATAATCTACAAACCTTCATTGATATCAAATATGTCCTGGTCAATTCCACCATCTATATCTTTAACTAAAAAAAGGAAAAAACACATGATATTATATTTATGAAAAGAGAAAATGTTTGTAAATTATATAATCAGAAATAAGCAAATTTCTTTTACCTCAGGTAAGTAACTACTAGATTCTAAGTCAATATACATTGATTGATTGATTGAGAAACATCCATGAATAAGGTTGGGGGAAAAGGGCTTTTGCATGTGTGATCTGTCCTATCCACATACCTTGAAAATCAAAATTTGATTTCAGCGATAAAATATCGATAACTCAGTATGTGAATAAGCCTAATTTGGGAGACTGGACTGGATGACTAAATTGAATAGGAAATAAATGTTTAAATTTATCAAACCAATTTTCTCATTTATTTCCCTTTCTAGTAGTATACTTAGAACTCCCAAGCAAAATACTTGAACTAAAATTGAATTGTTCTCCTAAGTTGCAAGGGGGTAAATCACATGGTATGCAATTAATTAGGAGTGGACTCTATTATCAGGTTTATCTGATTTGACAAACAAGCAGAAACAGTAATAGCAAGCACAAGTAGGATGTCTATGTGTCAGTCACTGTGTTTGGCCTTTCTTATAACACTGTATGCATAGTTTTCTGCTATGTGTACCCCAAAACACAGACAATAAAAAGCCCCTCAATAAATGAAAAGAAGTCCGTGTTTGATCAAAATTCAAAGCAATATTATGCATATGAAATTATGCTTAACATTAAACATGTCCTAGCTGCTTTTGTCGTTCTGTTACCCACACAACCTAGAGAAAAACTCAAAATATACTCACCAAAGTCTTCTGGAGTTGGCTGGGAGATAAACAAATTTTAAAAAAAAGATATTATCATTATGTCCATGTATAAATGACATTATTGGTTCCACTTTATATCTAAACAATGATTTTCTGCCATATATCCAAGACAGCTAAACTGGAGACTAACATGACTTTTTGAACAAATGGCCTCCTCATTTCATACAGAAAATGAAACTGCCCATTAAATTAATTTGAAGGTAAAGAAAGTAAGAAAATTACTTCAAAAGTAAGAACCCAAAACTAGCTTTCAAATAAGTGTTCACTTTAAACATGATATTCCATGATTTTTTTTTTTTAGTTTTTTAATGTTTTGAAAAGTAGAGAGACAAAGAGAGAAGAGACAGAGACAGATCTTCCATCTGCTGGTTCGCTCCCCAGTGCCTGCAACAGCCAAGGCTAGACAAGGCCGAAGCCAGGAGCTGTGAACTCATCCAGATCTCTCACATGGGTGGCAGGAATTCAAGTTTGAACCGTACCTGCTGAATTGGAAGCAAAGCAGGGACTTGAACCCATACATTCTGATATAGGATGTGGGTGTCCCAAACAGCATCTAAATGGCCTTGCCGAATGCCCACTCCTACACATGATTTTCTAAAGAATTCATGAAGCAACATTTGAAAAATCTAATACACTCACAATGTTGAAACTTTATTATAATGTATAACAATACTTTTAAAAGAAGTTTTATTTAAGAGATAATTGATCTTGTTCTACTTTCATATTTTTCCCGTCTGCCTGCAATGATAGTATCAAATATTTAAGAAAAAAGGTGAGAATAGTTTGTGATTGAACTTTTTCCCCTGAAAATAGACTAATGAAACTCAGACAACATGCCTAATGGAAAATCTAGGTAAACCTTGGAAATTTCTTAGTGTCATCTAGTAAAAAAGTTAATGATACCGACAGGCAGTAATCTGGGTTGTATTACTGGTTCTAGTAATTAATGCTGGTTCAGTGCACCTTCCTGGAACTCAGACTATCTATAAAATACAGTCAATACTTGCTCTGTGTGAATGCTATGAAGGTTTTATGATATAATGTGAAAGTCCTCTGTAAACAGTAGTAACTTTTCATGTAAGTGTAAAGCACAGTTGTATTCAAATACAGCTTATGTATCTAAGTACTAGAGTCATCCAGAGTATTTAGCAAGATATGAGGATGAACTGTTTGGATAGTTACTATTATTTTTGACACCAACGAGTGCCTTGGTTGTCTCACATTATAGCCATGCATAAGCCTACACTCACAGAGGAATGTCATTGTACCCCTAGAATAAGGGTGTCATGCATTTGTTCCCAATTACAGTTTTAATGTGCATTAAACGGTATCTTCCTGGCGCCGCGGCTCACTAGGCTAATCCTCTGCCTTGTGGCGCCGGCACAGAGGGTTCTAGTCCCAGTAGGGGCGCCGGATTCTGTCCCAGTTTCCCCTCTTCCAGGCCAGCTCTCTGCTGTGGCCAGGGAGTGCAGTGGAGGATGGCCCAAGTCCTTGGGCCCTGCACCCCATGGGAGACCAGGATAAGTACCTGGCTCCTGCCATCGGATCAGCGCAGGGCGCCAGCCACAGCGCACCAGCCGCAGCGGCCATTGGAGGGTGAACCAACGGCAAAGGAAGACCTTTCTCTCTGTCTCTCTCTCTCACTGTCCACTCTGCCTGTCAAATAAATAAACAAATAAATAAAAATAAACAGTATCTTATTTGCAATGTTCTAATCCCTATTCATGGAATATCAGCTCAATCTGATAACTTATTTCTAAATAACTAGAGGATTTGTCCTCAGGCACTTGAAACTTTATTTAAAATCCCTGGTTGGTTTGTGGTAAAAACTACCTGTCACTGTGGAAAGCTTAGTCTAAATTGATGAAGAAGCAGAGAGAAATCACATTCTACCCAAACATATACCGACTGCACCTGTGACACCCATCTGTCTCTTCACGTATGACTCAAATTACTCCAGCAACAATCTACATTTCATCCAGCAGTAAAAACAGAAGGACTCAAAACTCATGTTTCCTATCTCATCAAGAGAAAAGTTGCTACACAACAAGGAAACTAAAGAAAAGCATAACTTGTGGTCAACCTCTCTGATTCTCTCTGGTTAGGCTACTTCTTACTTCCCTATACACCCTACCAGCCCCTATTCACCAAAATATTCATCATTTGAAATTAACATTTTGAAATTTATAAAACACAAAACATAAATAAACAGTCGTCCTTTAACAATCAGAATCAACTGCTCTAAATTTTCCTAATATAATAAAGTAACTGTTTTCTATACATTGATTCCTTACCAGGCCAGAAGCCACCAGAAGAGCTGCAAAGAACAGAAGCCAAGCCAAATACCATGAATCCATGTTGTAGCTTCCAGATGAAAGTTGCAAACTGACATTCAGCATAGAGCTGACTTTTTAAAAGGCAAACATCTTAACTTATAGCCTTTGATCTCCATGATCCATTTTGCAAGTCAGCTCTTTGCTGTAATAATACCTCCAATCACAGAGTTAAAGTCCAGGATCCTTAACACAGGCTGTAGAGTGGCATTGGGTGTTTGTTTGTTTTTTAAATTGTCAATAGTCTTTATCCATCTATCTATCTATTTTCATTTTACTTGGAAGGTAGAAGAGGGAAGAGAGAGAAAGGGAGAGGGGAGAGAGATCTCCCATCCACTGGTTCATTCTCCAAATGCTCGTAACAGCCAGAGCTAAGCCAAGCTGAAGCCAGGAGCCCAGAACTCAAGGACCCAAGTACTTGAGCCATCACCTGCTGCCTCCTGGGTATGCACAAACAGGAAGCTGTGTCAGAAGTCGGGGAGCCAGCATTTCAGTCAGTATCTTGATACGGGATGTGAGCATCCCAAGATGTGACTTAGCCACTGTAACACCTGTCTCCATGTCAGCCTTCAACAACTAACTGCCTTGCTGAGACCTTTTAATGAAATACATTCTCTAGTGTTTATGTACTGATCTCCAAGCTGTTAAATACCATTTGAGCAAAAGATAATATTGAATTACCTTCTAACATTGATTCTTCAAATAGTAAACATTTATGCAGTTCCTCCTGTGCACATAACCCTGCACAGCTTTACTATGTCCAGTTATGTTAACTGCTTTTAATCATTCATATAAATTTATTGTCTATAATTTATCGAGCTATAAAATCCATAAAACACTGGAAATTGGGCACACTCATGTTCAGATACAAAGTAGCAAAATGGCAACGTATCTCACTTCTGAAAATTCCCACAAAGCAAATACAGGTGGGAGTTAGAGTGAGAAGGGTAGAAATGTTCACTGGTCTGTGAATGAAATATTCATAAATGTTCCTAAGGCACCTCTCAACTTTTTCCTTCTTTTCTTTGGGTATTTCTCTTTAGAGACAACATATTCTTTAACTCAGTTTCCAACTTCTCACTTTCAACTTACTTGGGGTGCAGGATAGTATTCTTGAAATACTAATCCTCCCCTCAACATTTTCCTTCTCGCCAGATTGGTTTTTATCCCATTTTAACTAACATAAAGGATACAAAAAGACATGGAACATAGACAAAGGACTTGAGAGGATGCTTCTCAAGTACAAGCCAATCCCACCTTCTGAGGGCAGGAGGAGAGTTGACAAGGGAAAATTAAAAATGGATCAATTTGGGGCTGGCGCTGTGGCACAGCAGGTTAGAGCCCCCAGGATGGAGCTCTGGCATCCCAAATGGGCGCAGGTTCGAGTTCTGGCTGCTCCACTTCCAATCCAGCTCTCTGATATGGCCTGGGAAAGCAGTAGAAGATGGTCCAAGTCCTTGGGCCCCGAATTGGTTGTAATTAAATTTCTACCACCTGTGCGGCTGGAGATGTAAAACAGTAACAGTCATAGAAATATAAAGAGATTTGTTATGCACATCTGTTTCTGCAAACTGAGATTTGTAACTGTGATGTCTGTCTTCAGATCAGCTCAGCTTTGGCCATTGCGGCCACTGGGGGAGTGAACCAGTGGATGGAAGACCTCTCTCTTTTTCCCTCTGGCTCTACCTCTCTCTGTAACTCTTTCAAATAAATAAAATAAATCTTTTTTTAAAAAATGAATGAATTCCTCACTTACTCACTGACATCCTCCAGATGACTTGTAGAAGTCAAAATCAGGTGGGCCTCTCTCTCCTGGCTAGAGGCAGAAGGAAGTAACAGAAGCAAGCATGTCTTGGGAGGAGAACAATAACACTGGTGTGGTCTAAAATGGCACAAAAAATATCAGAGAAACTGCCAGGCCTGAAGGGTCATGTGGCTGGGAGTAAGGACGACTCCCGAGCAGGCTGCATGGAATGGCTACCAAGCTGGCAGCTGGCGAAACTTCTGCATCCTCTTGAGATCTCCGTTTTTCTCTTAAAGCTTTCAACTGATTGGATGAGGTCCAAACCACTCGCAGATGCTTTAGAGGATGATGCCCAAGAGGCTAGATGCCCTCAGGCATCAGATGGGAACTTGAAACCTTGAGACCATTAAGCTTAGGCACACACTTACAGATAAAAATGGGAATCCCAAATTGGTTGTAATTAAATTTCTACCACCTGTGCGGCTGGAGATGTAAACAGTAACAGTCATAGAAATATAAAGAGATTTGTTATACACATCTGTTTCTGCAAACTGAGATTTGTAACTGTGGTGTCTGACTGCATTCTGTGCTGGGGCAGACAGGTCATATTTGAAGTTAGGGAAAGTGGAACCAGGGAGAGCAGAAAGCAAGTGTTCCTGGGATGTCAGCCTGCTCGGAACCCTAGTGACAGCGCATGGGCAGGGCCTCCCTTGAAATCTCATGGAGAGTCACTGAGGTTAGCAAGACTGAAATCCAGTAACAAAGCTGCCTTTTGCCTACAATGCAAGGACACCCTCTGCATTTTCCTCTCCTGTGGGCTTGTCAGTGAAGCTGTGACACAGAAGCTAAGCTTGACTAATCTGCAGTATCACTCTCTGGCTTCCACCTCACAGCCTGCCCCAGGAAGCCTTCACAGGCTTCTTCCAGGCTTTTGGAGGCTGAACCCAGGAGCTCCTCTTCGCCTCTGGTTGATGGCCTACTTCTGGATTTCATTTCTCGGCTTGAGATATTAACCTTTTTTAATGTCCTGAGATCCCCTGGAACCTTCCAGAAAGCATATTTCTGTTAGGTTGGAATTCTTCAAACACCCCTGGAATGTGAGTATGTTATAGACCTGAAGACAGGAGAACATGAATGTGAAAAGCTTTCTAAGAGGAAATAGTACAGGCATTGCAACGAAAGATCAAAAAACTTTATATAGTTCTTTTCACAATGCCCATTTGCTGTATCTGATTCTCTCAAAAAATAAATAAAAAGTCTTTGTAAGTTATCTCATGAGTTTCTCCTTGGCAGCTCTTTTTGAAATCTTGTAACATATTGAGAAGGCACACATATTTGAATGTAACTTAAATTAAATGGATCTGGCAGAAAGGAAAGAATGAAGCTGGAGTGATTATAGAAATCTCTGGGCAGCTGTGTGAGCACATATTCAACAGGGGTCCTGTCATGTGCCTTCTGCCAGTGACATCTGCATTGCCTGGCATTGAGCAGACTAACTCTCATTTTCCGCACAGATCTTCCAAGCCCCCCCCCCCCAATTACCATCTTTCACCCATTTTTCGAAATTGTGGAATGTTACTATATTAGCGTTCTCCAGTAAAGCAGAACCAATAGGATTTGTGTATATATATATAGGCATCAAAGACGTATTTTAAGGAATTGACTCACATGGCAGCAGAGGTGAGCAAGTCCAAACTCTACAGGGTGGCCTGCAGGCTGGTGGCTCAGACTGGAGCTGGTGCTGTAGCCAGAGCACGGAAAGCTGGCAGCTGGCGAAACTTCTGCATCCTCTTGAGATCTCTGTTTTTCTCTTAAAGCTTTCAATTGATTGGATGAGGTCCAAACCACATTATGGAGGGTAATCCATGTTACTGAGTCTCTGATTTAAATATTAACCTCATCTGTAAAATCTGCACAATGACATTTAGACTAGGGTGTGACTGGGCACCATAGTTTAGCCAAGTTGACACATAAAATTAGCTGTGAATCACTTTCTTTGCCCGTTTTATTTACCAAACTTTCGGTAATCACCTGTTTATGGACAGCTCCTGCTCAACCTGAGGTTCTTATCCTAATCACTCAAGACAATTCGCTTGACTACCAGTCACACACCTGGCTTAAGGCACAGGCTCTATCTATTGTTGTCATATCTATATCTATACTTCAAGAACCCAGTTGACCAAGGCAGTGAGGAAAAATTCTGTCCCTGCATAGGATGAACCCCCTTCAATTCCTACACTAACATTACATAAGGAGCTGTTTTGCTGGGAGCCAGGCCACAAAGAAACAGTGGGAAAAAATTCCAACAGTTTGCAAAGGCAAGCAGCTTCCCCCAGCACTTACAGAAGGATCACCAGGTAGCCTGTGAAGTTTGATGACCTTAATCTAGTTGAGCTGTCTTCAAGCTGTTCCGCATTTACCCCAACCTAAACAGGTCTAAAGGGAGCAGGAGATTGACTCTATGGGAAATAGTGGCAATTTTGGCTGTTCCCAAATTGATACCTCTGTGTCTGCCTCATGGGACTGTTAAACTCCTTCAAACTCAAGTCGAGTTTACTCCCTCCAAAACCTAGACCTGCCAATACCTGGAAGAAGAAATTAATTACTCCTGCTTCTGTGCTGTGATTGCCTTTTTATAAGGCACTCATTACTCAGGACTATATTTATTTATTTACTTATACATTTGCCTATTCCAGTATTTAGGAACCAATCTCATTGAAATTTGTTACCCCAGTGGTTGGCACATGTTGGGTAGCTGTTCACTGAAAGAAATGGGAATGAACTTTGAAAGTCAGTATCTTCCTATGAATTTTTTCATCACCTACCTCATCTCTGCTAGACACATATACCCTAGAAATAAGTTCTAACAACCAAGAAAATAAAATAGTTTGGTCTGTCTGTTTGAATTAATATTTCCCACAGGGAAGGAACGCAAGACTATTGTGATGTATTTTTATGGCCTTCCTGTGTATTCATCACTGCTTACGTTCCACATTGTGCCAAATCAGACTCATGTGCAAACATTCTCCAAAGGTTGTGCGGATGACTTCCTGAAGGCAAGAACACAAAGCACAAAAGTAAACAGAGTGGCACACATGGTACCAGACCAGGCTGCTGCTTAGGAGATGAACTTGACTCCTGTACGATGTGTTCCTAAAGCGGCAGAGGGTCAATGGCATTGTTGAAGCACTTGTCATACCTAGCAAGAGAAAATCATTGATGAAAGCAAAGGAAATTTGAGAGAAGCATCATCTGCTTTCCCCCTTTTCTTCTCTGGGAGCCAGGTATTAAACTACAGAAGCACTTAACCGGGACCATTTCAACCAACAATACAACTGGGAAAGAAAAGACTGAATTTGTGGTTCATTTCCCTGTGGTCTACATGAGTACAAATGGTCTCCCAAATATTCTGACGTGTGTGTGTTTGATTCTGTCCTTTCTGGTCACCTACGCATTCTTCTGCCATTGCCAATAGCTTAGAATGCAAATGCTCAAACTTTTTTCTCTTGAGGACTCATTTCACTCTGAAAAAATAATTGAGGACCCTAAGTGGTTTTTTTTGAAAGATTTATTTATTTATTTTAAAGAGTTACAGAGAAAGAAGGAGGAAGAGAAAGAGAGAGAGAGATTTTCTATCAGCTGGTTCATTCCCCAGGTGACCACAATGGTCAGGGCTGGGCCAAAGCCAAAGCCAGAAGTTTCATCTGGGTCTCCCACATGGGTGGCAGGGGCCCAAGCACTTTTTCCATCTTCCACTGCTTTTCCCAGGCCATTAGCGAGGAGCTGGATTGGAAATAAAATAGATGGGATGTAAACCAGCACCCATGTGGGACGCCAGCATCGCAGACAGTGGCTTTACACACTACACCACAACACTGGTTCCAAAAAACTTTACTTTGATAAAAATTAATGTACATTTTAGTGTACTTTTTATTATCAATTTGTAATCAATATTGACTGATAAGAAATTAAAACAGAAAAAATTTTAAGATTATTTATTTGTGAGTCAGAGCAAGAGAGAGAGAAGAGGGAGAGACACAGCAAGACAGAAAGAACTTCAATCTGCTGGTTTACTCAAATGGCAGCAACAGCCAGGTCCAGGCCAGGCCAAAGCTAGGAGCCAGGGACTCTAGGAGCCCAGGTACTTGGGCCATCTTCTTCTGCCTTTCCAGGTGCATTAGCCTGAAGCTTGTTCTGAAGTGGAGTAGATGCAGCTCGAACTGGTACTCAATATGGAATGCCAGCATTGCAAGCAGCTGCTTAACCTGCTGCACCACAATGCTGGCCTCTAAAACAGGAAAATTTTCAATATTTATTTATTTGTTAAAAATAGCAACTGAAGCCAGTGCTGTGGCACAGAAGGTTAAGCCTCCACCTGCAGTGTCAGTATCCCATATGAGCATCAGTTCAAGTCCTGACTGTTCCACTTCCGATCCAGTTCCCTGCTAATGACCTGGGAAGCAGTAGAAGAAGACCCAAGTGCTTGGGCCCCTGAATACATGTGGGAGACACAGAAGAAGCTCGTGGCTTCAGATAGGCCCAGCTCTGGCTGTTGCAGCCATTTGGGAAGTGAACCAGCAGATGAAAGACTTCTCTGTCTTTCCCTCTATCTGTCCATAACTCTGACTCTCAAATAAATAAATAAATCTTTAAAAATATAGCAATTATTTGGGGTCAGTGCTGTGATGTAGTAGTCTAAGCCTCTTCCTGTGGTGCCAGCATCCCATATGGGAGCCAGTTAGTGTCCTGGCTACTCCTCTTCCCATCCAGCTCTCTTCTATCATGGGAGACATGGAACAAGCTCCTGGCTCCTGGATCATTTGGGGAGTGAAACAGAGGATGGAAGACCTTTCTCTCTGTCTTTCCCTCTCTCTGTAACTCTATCTCTCAAATTAATAAATAAAAACTTCAAAAAATGTATCAGTTATAAACCTATTATACCATAATATAAATAATACACTATAATTAAAAATAAAGTATGCATTCAAAAATAAATCTAA